GGGGGGGGGGGGTCTCCTTCTGCAAGAGCGTAGTTATAAATTTTGGTCATAAGGGGTCAGTTCCTGTACGTACATCTTATAGCACTCCCCTGAAAGACCATGGACTCCTGGAGCTTTGTTCTTCATCTTCCCTGATGAACAGTTTGCAGAAGCCAACGCCATCCTGCACCACACGCTGCTGTGGCTGACCCATCAGACCTGGGACTCCTCTGATCACCTCAAGCCAAGCAGCAGGTGACATTTCATATCATTTAACTAACGTCAGATTTTAAAGATCCATTCAACCTTTACTCAGACAGGATAATCCCACTGAGCCTCGAGGACGACAGAGACCTGACTTCAACAATGGACAGTTAGAAAAGAGGTTTACAGATTTATTTTTTAATAAATTAAAATAAGATGGAAAAAACAGCTGGATTATAAGGCGAATGTAGGAAACTAGAAGCAGGAAGATGTGTGCGTTGGTTCTTGTCCTGAACTTGTGAGATGTTTGAAGCCACTTGGAGGTCCAGGTGGAGCTTCAGATCTCTGGACAACATATTCCAGGAGCCAGAGGAGCTGCGTGCCGAGCACAGTCACCCTCAGGCATAAAGACAACTCAACAATCTCAACTTTGCTGGTTTACTCCGCTGACCGGACAAGTTTTAGTTCTTCGTTTTTGGTTCATCTGAGTAAGAATGAAATCTGACCACTTCTGTGTTGCTAATGTATCCCTCAACGGTTTCGAGATTTGTTCGTTTTTAACGCGTTTTAAAGTGAAGCTAACTGTTAGCAGTGTTAGCCTTTTAGCTTCTCGTAATGCTAAAGTTAGCCCATGACAAGGCTAAAGGCGGATCGACTGCAGCTGAAGCTGCTACACCGAGCTTAAACCCTTTACTGACAACATTCGTCTTAAGAGTTCTTTTAAAAAGGCGAAAACATTTTCAAGGTATTTCTCTTCACTTACCTGAAGCAAAATTAACCCAAAGTTTGTTCACAGGCCGCCGCCTTCTTCTTCTTCTTCTTCTTCTGATTTTTGTTGTCGAACTTGTTTTAAGCGCACTGGCGCCACCAACTGGACTGGAGTGTGGATTTGGATAACAGACGGGAGAAAACTAGATTCGACTAAACCAACTAACGGACTTTATGAAGGAAATAACTACTGCACGTGTCAGGTGATTTATCTTCCAAGAGCCCAGCTAACGTGAAGTCCTCGTGTTTTTCCTTTGTTAATGGCTGCAGTCGAAGGTTCTTTGGATGTTGTTGCAGTGCAGCATGTTCTGTCTCTGGATGTTTGTCTGTTTTATCTAGAGTGCAGTTGAGACCTGACTGTCCTATTCTGAGTCGAGTGATGACATTTTCTACTTTTCTATTCCATTTTGTTGTGCTTCCTAACCCAACGTGTTTTTGTAGCCGTATAATGTCTTCCTGTTTCCTGTAGGTCCCAGTCATAGATATAAACACTAGATACAGCGTTGACCGCAGCGCCGCCATCTTGGAACGGTCTCCCGCTCCTCTCAGTGTGACTGTTTGTCAGAGCAATGAAGAATCTGTGTTGAATGAGTCAGAGCTGAAAACTAAACTCACCTCACCATTTGTTCCTCTGTAAATCTCAGGAGTACAGACATTAAAGATGAACACATGGTTCAGAGTTTTTAAATATTCTTGGTGGGGTTAACATTAACACTAATAAAATATTCTTATGACAAGTTTTGCAAATCTCACAGTCACTGATACATTTTTAATAATAGCTATATATCTATACATTATATCACTTTCATATATACACAGTTTAATAATTTGCTATAATAATAACACACACATTATAATATCACAATCTTATATATACATTATATCTACTTTATATATATACACATCTCATGTATGTACATTATCTACATCCATCCATCATCTTTACCCGTTTATTCCATTTTAGGTCACGGGGTCGCCGGTGCCCGTGTCCAGCAATCACTGTGTGAAGGGCGGGGGACACCTGGACAGGTCTCCAGTCCATCACAGGGACACATAAAGACAAATGAGACAAACAACCATTCAGTCTCTCTCTCTCACCTAGGGACAATTCAGAGTTACCATCAGTCTAACATGCATGTTTTTGGTCTGTGGGAGGAAACCGGAGTACCCGGAGAAAACCCACGCATGCACGGAGAGAACATGCAAACTCCACCCAGAAAGGCCCCCGGACCGGGG